TGGCGACCCACCTCAAGAACGGAAAGGAGCTGTGCAAGAATTTCAATCGGGGGTCGTGCCCGGAGCCCTGCCCGAAGAATCTGGAGCACGCATGCTCCATGATCGTGAGCAAGAGCGGCCGCGTCTGCGGCATGAGGAATCACTGCGCCGCCGTGTGCCGCAAGGCGCCGATCCCGGAGCAGGGCGCGTTGTCGCAGTATTGAAGGGGCCCCGCCAGGGCGGAGGACAGCGCCGAGGCAGGGGGGCACGTTGCCTGTCCAGCGGAGCACGGCTTCTTTGCGCCAGCGCAGGCGGGCGCACCCAGCGCCCAGCCAGGTTTCCGCGCGCAGCAAGCGCGCGTTCTCGGCCAGGCGCAATCAGCGCAGTCATCGGGCGAGCAGGAGTCCGATGTGTCGGCACCGCAGGCGCGAGCGCATCAGCGCGGGGCGCCGAGCGACGGCGCGTCTTCGTTTGCGCAGGCGCCGCGGGTATCGAGGCACTTCCCCGTGATGTGGTCGCAGCGCCAATTGCGGCAGTGCGTCGTCAGCATGTTCCCCAGGGAATGGCTGAGCAGTTTTGTTTTTCCGTCATTGGAAGATCTAGTCAATCAGTCGCCGTTCGTGGATTTCGCAAAGTGGCTAGACGAGCGCAGCATCGCTGGACCAGTTGGCAGCACGGCAGGCCAGGGCACGTCTGCCATGCTGGAAGCCGCGGCGGGGCGACAGGCCGGGGCGCTCTCGGCCAAGCACGCGTTGCCGCCTCTCCTGGGCCACAGCCGGGATGAGGAAGAGCATTTCCGCGCCGCGGTTGATTTCGCGAAGCGGGGGAAGTTACCGTTCGATGAGGACGTTGCTGCTCCGCGTGACTTGAAATTTGCGGCGGAGTCCACCGCCGCAGAGCTGCGCGACTTGAGGGAGTTTCGGTTGCGCAGCATGCACGCGCTGCAAGAGCTTAGTCGCCGGTGCAAGCCCCTCACGGCGGAGCTCTTGAAGTGGCAGAGTCCGACTGTGCGCGCCGTGGCGGGGCATATTCACGCCGGACTCATTGCCGTGCTGGTGGTGCTCGCGCGGTGGCCAGACCAAAAGCTGGCGTTGCGCTTTGTCACCGGCTTTGGCATCACTGGCGTAATGGAGAATACGGGTGCTTTTGAACCATCCGAGTATGAAGCTCCCATGCCCGTGCACTCGCTGCTTGGAGAGTCCAAAGTCTTGCTGGCGGAACTGGATCGCCAGCGCGCGAGTGAGGAGGGCCAATTTCTCTGGGATAGCTGCGAGGAAGAGTGCAAGAAAGGCTGGGCGGCACCGCTGCGAAGCAAGTCGGACATTGATGCGGAGTTCGGCGCGGGGCAGTGGGCGCCGATTCCTGCGTTTTGCCATATTCAGCCTTCTGGAAAAAGGAGGAGAATCGACGACGGGCGTCGGGGTAGGCAGAACGAAGCGACGGCATTTTGTGAGCGGCAAAGAATGTGTACGCCATTCCAGCCTGTCATCGATGCGAGGGTGGTCCGGCAAGCGTGTGCGGACGCTGGTGCCGACGTGGCCCGCGAGAGGCTCGTGTCGGGGGGCGAAGATTTGCCGTCGGCCTATCGCTCAGTCCCAGTGCACCCAGATCACTTGCGCTTGAACGTCGTGGCGGTCCGCGATCCTGTCACGGGAGAATGGAGGTTCCAGGTGGCGTGGGCGTTGCTTTTCGGTTTCTCCGCGTCAGTCATGCAGTTCGCGCGATGGGGAGGATTCCTGCAGGCAGTGCAGCGCCGCGTGTTGTCGCTTTTGCTTGCCATGTATGTGGACGACGCGAATATTACTGATTTTGAATCAGCTGGGGGCGCTGGTCAGGAGGCCGCACAGTGCCTTTGCGCGGAGTTGGGCACGCCTGTGGCTCCCTCGAAGACGAGGAGGATGAGCCCGTCCGGCGATTTTCTGGGCGTCGTGCACACCTTCGGCCCTTCGCTGGACTCGAATGTCATATCTTTCAGGGCGCGCGACACTCTCGTCGAAAAGGCGAAGACGTTCATTGCGGCGAGGCGCAGCGAGGGCAGGCTCACGCCCGGAGACGCCAGCAAGTTGAGAGGCCTCCTCAACTTCATCGCCAGAGCGGCGTGGCACGGCGTGGGCAAAGCAGGCATGGGGGCTCTGAGGCAACGGCAGTACACAGATCAGCCGCCTTGGACCCTGAGCAACTGCCTGGTGCGCGCCCTCGATTTCTTTTATATAATTCTGCAAGACATGCCGAGCCGCGTGGCCGAGATCGCGCCGAGAAGCGAGCCTTTGATTCTCATTGCTTCTGACGCGCGCGCTGACAATGACGCGTGGCCGACAGGGGGGTACGTGTTGTTAGATTGCGCCGACGGCTATCGGCAAGCTGGCTTCTGCGTTTTTGACGGGGCTCTGCTGGGCATGTGGGGCTACTGTGAGGAGCGCTTGAGGCAGGGCGGCCAGCCCATCGCGCTGTGTGAGGGCGCGATGCCGCCCATCATCTACCAGCGCCACGCTAAGCGGCTGGCAAACCGCCGCGTGCTGTATTTCATAGACAATACCAGCTCTCTGCATTCGTACGTCAAGGGCTGCGCGGTGCCGGCCGCGCTGGATCGGTCGATTGCTTTCACTAATTTCTTGGCGAGCCGCCGTTCGATCACCACGTGGTGGGAATTCACGCCTTCGGGGACCAATTGGTCGGACGGGATTTCGAGGCAGCTAGGAAGTGACGCGTTTGTGAGGCGACATCGATTTCCAGCAAAGCGAATCGGCGTGGACAGTCGTATTTGGACGGGCAGCTTGGAGAGCGCATGGCGCTTCGCCCGCGGGTAGCCCCCACGTGTGGCTGCGACGCGCCGTTATACATTGTGTTGCTCGGTAAGTGAACAGCGTTGGGTGAGCGAGCGGGGCGTGGGGGTGAGCAGCGTTGGGGGGATCGGCCAGAGGGATGCATCGCCCCTCGGTCGGTCGGCCTCCCGTCAAGGGGATGCATCCCTCCTTGGGGGAGAGCGGCTCCAGCCGCCCCAATGTTGTTCCCTATGGAAACCCGCTCTCTCTCACCTTAAACCTTACGTTCACTCCAACCAGCAAAAACAATGCTTTTGGTCCCTCGGACCCAGTCTAGTAGCTAAGGTGGGCGCGTAGATTATGGGTGCACTTTAGGCCCGGGCAGGCATGGGTGAGTGCTTCATAATGTACGCGCGCGGACACCTTGGAAACGTCGCCCGCGCATGCAGCTCGGGGCGCAGGGGCGAAGAGAGGGGGGGGGCGCCCCCCCCCTTCGCTGCCCGCGCCGAGGGGCTGCGAGGAAGGGGGGGCGACGGGCCGCGGTGGCCGCGCTCACCTTGCGATTTGATTTTTCCCACCCTCCCGCCCTGGGTTTGCATTCAGCAAGCTGGGGGGGGGCCAAGAGGGCAAGCGAAGCGACGAAGCCTCGAGCGCGACACTTCGCGCATGAGGGATGCATCTCCCCTCCGTGGTTGGTCGCGCATGAGGGAGGCATTTCCCCTCTGTTACAAGGGGGGGGATCGGCCAGAGGGATGCATCGCCCCTCGGTCGGTCGGCCTCCCGTCAAGGGGATGCATCCCTCCTTGGGGGAGAGCGGCTCCAGCCGCCCCAATGTTGTTCCCTATGGAAACCCGCTCTCTCTCACCTTAAACCTTACGTTCACTCCAACCAGCAAAAACAATGCTTTTGGTCCCTCGGACCCAGTCTAGTAGCTAAGGTGGGCGCGTAGATTATGAGATGATGATGATGATGTTGATGCTGATGAAGATGATGATGATGATGATAATGGCGTCCCGATGCTGATGGTGATGATGAGGTTGATGGTGATCATGTTGATGATGATGATGCTGATGGTGATGATGATGATGATGATGGTGTCCCGATGGTGATGGTGATGATGATGACGATGATGGTGTCCCGATGATCATGATGATGATGATGATGATGATGATGTTGATGATGTTGATGATGGTGATGAGGTGGTGATGATGATGGTGTCCCGATGATGATGCTGATGATTATTATGATGCGGATGTTGCTGATGATGATGATGGTGTCCCGATGATGATGATGAAGGTAATGGTGATGATGGTGACGATAATGATGGTCCCGATGATGATGATGTTGACGATGATGTTGTTGATGATGATGATGATGATGATGGTGTCCCGATGATGATGATGTTGATGATGTTGTTCATGATGATGATGCTGATGCTGCTGATGATGATGGTGATGAGATGGTGGTGATGATGATGATGATGGTGTTCCGATGCTGATGATGACGATGGTGTCCTAATGATGATGGTGTTGATGATGATGATGGTGATGATGATGATGGTGACGATGATGGTGTCCAATTGATGATGATGATGACGATGACGATGATGATGATGATGATGATGATGCTAATGTTGATGATGATGGTGATGATTGCGTCCCGGTGATGATGATGCTGATGTTGATGACGCTGATGACGATGATGCTGATGATGCTGATTACGTTGATTGTGATATCGACTGTGATATCGATAGTGAGATCGACAGTGAGACCGAATGTGATATCGATTGTGAGATCGATAGTGAGATCGGTAGTGAGATCGATGGTGATATCAATCGTCAGATCGATTGAGAGATCGATCGAATGAAATAGATAGAGTGAGGTCGATTGTGAGATCGATCGAGTGAGATCGATAGTGAGATCGATAGGGAGACCGATCGAGTGAGACGTTGGTTCCTCCCCCCCCCGAACCTCCTTATCACCCGAAGGGTGGTCGTATAGGTAGTATAACCATTTGTCGGGGGACGACTTCTCGACTATTTTTGATTAGTGTTGCATATTCTTGTTCGGATATTTGCCGTGTCCGCCAAAATCTGCCTCGGGGGGGGACGTGCCCGACCTAAACCCAGGGCAGCTCTTGCGTGTCGTCGCGAGCGGGCCTCCGCCCCAGTCGCCGCACCGCCCTCGGGGCCGAGCCCCGCCCCCTCCCGCTGACTCCCCGCCCGCGTGCCTGCCCCCCCGCATCGCGCCGAGCGCGCAGGTCACCGACCTGTCCAAACCCGACAAGCACGACCCGTCGGGCGCGCCGCTGGGAGGAGGAGGAGGAGGAGGAGGAGGAGGAGGAGGAGGAGGAGGAGGAGGAGGAGGAGGAGGAGGAGGAGGGCGAGAAGGAGGAGGAGGAGGACGAGGGGAGGGAGAGGAGGGAGAGGAGGAGGAGGAGGAGGAGGGAGGGAGGAGGAGGAGGAGGAGGAGGAGGAGGAGGAGAGGAGGGTGAGGAGGAGGAGGAGGAGGAGGAGGAGGATAAGGAGGAAAAGGAGGAGGAGGAGGACAAGGACAAGAACATCCGCAGGAAAGGGGGTGCAACGTCAACGCACCTTCTCATGTGTCTTACGCACTTCTGCCAAAATCCCCTGCGATTGGTTGTGCAACAGCCTTGCCTTCTTTCTAATGCCGGCAGAGGGCATACCACGTAGCTCAAGGACCGAGCTCCGAGGTGGCCCCGTAAGAGAGGCTCGCTACCTGACCTCACGAGTCCCTGCGGGTCAATGCGGGGGGAGCGGCTGCTGGCTTTTCCGCGTGCCCTAGGGGGGAGGGGGCGCGCGGGCTTAGCAGAGCGTCCAAGCCAGGGGGGAGGAGACGACGACACGCCCAAACTGTTGCTGGGTGGGCTGCTTGTTCTACTGTTTCAATTCCATGCTCCCCTCTCCCGCTCGGCTCATTTCTCGGTCTGTCCGAGAGATGTCCCATGTATTGTCACAGATGTACTTTGATACCCTGTTGTAGTATCCCACCGATTCCCCTCGAAAAACATGTGGGGTAGAGCACATGGGTAGTCGCGGTCTACGGTCGGGCCATCGAGGAGCACATTGGCGGGTTTCCTGGTGATCACCGTTTTCCCCTTCGACGCCCTGCAGTAGTGTACCTGCCGGCGCTGCAAGACAAACTTCCCATTGCGATGTCGGTGCGAGCGCTCCGTGATGCCCATCCTGTATGCCCCGAGTTGCACTCCGAGAGGCCTCCCTACTGCTTCTCATGGCTGCTCGTGGGCACGTCCAGCCTGCAACTTGCCCAGAGTATAACACTCCGAGAAAACCCCGTTCACCACCCACCAAACCACCCCAACCCAACCCGAAGGCTCATATTTTCCCTCGATTTCCAGTGGGGGGGGGGCGGGAAACATCGAAAAAACACATGTGGAACCCTTACCCCCCCCAACCCGAAATTCGGGTCTTCGGGTTGGGTTGGGGTGGTCTGGTAGGTAGTCACCCGTTAATGCTTCTCTAGGCAAACCAGCAGGCTCCAGCGGGTGCACTCCTTGGTGTCCGCTGGAGCAGCTGGCCGTAGTCGTCGCTTCCGGCTTGGGTCTGCACGAACGAAATGGGTACGGAAAGAATGGGCACAATGCCCAACACCAGTTCCTGTTGATTTTGAACAGGATTCGCTGTTCACGCCGCCGCGGCCTGTGTCAATTCGAGACAGAAGGCCGCCTGCCCAACAGCGGCCGCTGTTAGTTTGGGACAACATTTGTTGTTGGGCATTGTACCCATTTTTTCCGTACCCATTTCGGGCGTCCAAATTGGGGGAGCCGAACTTTGCCGCGAAGATCTCGGTGCCATCCAGCAAGGTCTTCGTGTTGTCTCGTAGCTTCTGGCGCTCCTTCAGCATCTTCACTTCCTCTGGGTCGAGGTTGTCCCCGTTGTTCAGCTCGTTTATGGCGCTCTTCACGACTTTGTGGAGGTTATCTTCGTTGTTCCTTGACTCCTACAGCGCCAGCTCGCATCAGCTCTGTACAGTAAAGGCCTTCCTCCCTGCTCTTTCCCATGCGTTCACAGGGTACCTTGCGATGAGGACGCAACCTTCGACCTTGTGCGTCATCGGGAAGGACACGGGGATCAGCTCGAAAAGCTCCTCGGTGCTCATCTTCTGGGCAGCGTCGAAGAACCGGTAGTGGCACTCCTTGATGGCGTCGTCCAGCTGCTGCGGTAGCCTTTCTGCTACGAGCGCTTCCCGTTTGTTTCCCACCTTGAGCTCCACCACCATCGGCGCGTATTGGGAGAGCGACGATTGGGGGGGCAGCGAGGGCTGCAAGAAAGGGGCCCTTTTGGGTCCCCTCCAGGGGCCCTTTGGGGCCCCCGTGGGCGACGGGGTGGCCTTTTGGGTCCGAGAGGGGCACCTTTCTCCCCCCCATGCTTTCATCGCCCCCACACGAATTCGCGGCCGGCCAGCTTTGTCTCTGTCGCCGGTTCTCGGCTCGGGGCGGGCAGAAGGCCTCCCCGAGGGCGGCGGGGACGACCTCAGGACCCGCGGCCCTCTTGACCCGTTCCTGCTGCTTGGTGGCCCCTCCTGGGTGCCCCGAGGGGCGATCAAGAGGCGAGTCCTGCCGATGCCCCATGGCGAGACCCCCTGCGCGAGTCCCGCCGATGCCCCATGGCGAGCCCTCGCACGCCGCGGCTGCAGGCGAGCTTGCTCCACGCAGCGGCCTCCTCGATGGGGTCCAAGTCGATGGGGTCGGAGGACCGCACGGCTCGATGTGGAGCCCGATCTTCTCCGCGCCGACGTCGCCGACGCCCCGCTGATGCATCGACGGTGCATCGGCGATGCATGCGACGCCTCCACGATGCGGCGCGGTCCTCCGACCCCATCGACTCGGACCCCGGTTGGGAGGCCTCTGCCAGGAGCAAGCCCGCTTGCAGCCGCGGCGTGGGAGGGCTCGCCATGGGGCCTCGGCAGGACTCGCGCAGGATGGCTCGCCGTGGGGCGTGGGAGGACTCGCCTCTTTGTTCCCTTGGGGCACCCAGGAGGGGCCACCATGGAGCCAGCACGGCTCCCGAGGGCCGCGGGTGCTGATGTCTGCCCCCCCGCGCTCGGGGACCCCAGCCTGGCCTTGAGTTAGCGGGCCCCGGGGCTCCCCTCTCCGCCCTCCTGGAGCAGGCGCGCTGCACGTTTCGGGAGGGGACAAAACACACAGACACAATTATTCGCCGACTTCGAGGGAAAATATGCGAGAATATGGGAAGTGGGGGGGAAGACAGAAACCCAGAAGATATGGGAAAATATGGGGAATCTTTTCATTTGTGTGTATTTCTTTGTGTGTCCCAGTGCCCCTTCCACTCTGTCCGCCGCCCTCGGGCTCTCTCTCGGAGCCCGGCGGTCGGCGCGCGACCCCGCGCGAGCAGCACCGGCTGGTCCTCGGGGCAGAGCCCCTGGGCCCAGGCCCCTTGCCGTCTGGACCCCTCGTTTCCTCCATATATCAGGAGGGGAAAAAACACACAGACACAATTAATCGTCGATCTCCTAGAAAATATGGGAAAATATGGGAAGTGGTGGGGAAGACAAAAAACCAGAAAATATAGGAAAAGATGGGGACTCTTTTTATTTGTGTGTATTTATTTGTGTGTCCCGGTTTCCCTTCAATATATCAGAGCCCCGAACCATCAGGGGTAGCTCGGGTCAGGGCTAACTCGGGTTCGTGTTTCGGGAGTCCGAGCCCGACTTACCCCGGACCCGAGTGACCCCGGATAACTCGGGCGCCCAGAGCCCCACATCATCAGGGGTAGCTCGGGTCAGGGCTACCTCGGGTTCCTTTTTGGGGAATCCAGACCCGAGTTACCCCGGACCCGAGTTACCCCGGATAACTCGGGCGCCCAAGTATATGGTTGACGGTCGGCCGGCCTCGGCCGCCCGCCGCTCGCTGCGCAGCCGCGCTCTGGCGCCTCTTGCGCTTCGTCGGCAGGCCCGCGGCGCTCTGCAGGGTCTTCGGCTCGCTCGCGCCCGCGGGCTTTGAACACTGTGTCCTTCATGGCGGTCGGGGCCTTTGGGGAGGAAGAACTCGTGGGCCAACTTATCACCGCCGCGGTTCGGGGCACCGTGCCTGAGAGTTCGGGCTTGCCGACGCTGTTCGACGGGCCCGCCTTCGGTCGGCTTTTGCCGGCCCAGCTTCCGCGGGAGGTTTGCGGCGGGACTTCGCGCCAGACTTCAGATCTGGACCTCGCCATTTTTCCGACGCCCCCATCTTGGGGCGCGATGCGCGAAATTGGGCGAATCAGATGAGGGAGGAGGGGGTGTGGGAGAAGGAACACGAAGATGGAGGCATGTGGACGGGGGGGTGGAGGTGGGCGGGGGAGGGGCGTGCAGGCTGGACGGGCGACGAGCCGTTGAAAAGGCATCATTTCTGAGCCTCTCCGCGCCTGCTGTTGAACGAGGGCCGCACCTCGGTGCCGGGAGCGGCGGTCTCGTCTCAGCTCGTCTCGTTTGTCGGGACGATCGGCGTGGGTACGGGAAACATGGGTACAATGCCCAACAGCAGTTCCTGCTCATTCTGAACGGGATTCGGTGTCCGCGCCGCCGCGGACGTTGTTCCTTGACTACAAACAGCCGCCTGCCCAACAACGGCCGCTGTCGGTTTTGGACAACATCTGTTGTTCGACACTCTAGCATTCTTTGAGGTACCCGTCGGGCGTTCAATCTTTCCGCTTTCCCGATCGCGAGTCTTACGTCTCCCCTGCAGTCGGCCTGGGTGACTAGCTCGACCCTGCCACATCCAGGGTGCCTTTGTGTCCTGCGTCTCGCGGCCCGTGCCGCCGACATTCCTGTGGCAGACTGGCTGCTAATGGCAGGGCGCTGCGTCCCGGCGCGTGTCCGCCCCTGTCGAGCTCGCTTGTGCTGCCCGGCTCTCCGCGCCGGCGTGGCTCCAGGAGCGGCGCATGCGGCCAAGGCGCTGCAGGAGGGACCGCCCTGGGCTCCGCATGGGGTCGGCTTTTTGGGCCGCTCTTCAGATCTGTGTCGTGGAGCCTGCTTGCGGCCTCCGGCCCGCCGTGCTTCCCCTCCTCCCGCCCATGAGCTCTCATCTCCCGCCCTCTCCGCTCTCCGCTCCTCCCCTTTCCGGCTCCTCGTCCTCCTCCCCCCCTCTCCCATCTGGTCCCCATGTTCCTCCCACGACCCTGCCGCACTGGGGAAAAAGCGGGCCGAGGAGTACGTGGAGGCGTGGGCGATCGGAGGGCGGGGGGAGGGACATCGGCTCCCGCGGGAGGGGGGGAGGGTTCCATACCCAGACGTGCGACGTTCTCATTTTTTCAGGACGGCCCGTCCCTGAAGTCGACAATAACGAACAACCTTCCGTCCTGATTTTTTCACGACGCAATCATGTCTGGGTAGGACAGGCGGGGCGAACGACGGCAACCATGGAGCCTTCGGTCCGAGCAGGCCTTCGGTCCGAGCAGGCCGACCGCGGGTCGAGCCGGGAGCCGCCCGCGGCTGTCTGACGGCCAGCCGCGGCGTGTCATATGGGAGGGCGGAGAGCTCGCCCTATGGGCGCTCTGCAAGAGGTCCTCCCCGGGTGCCCGAGCCGTTGTGCTCGGGCGGTCGGGGCGTTGGAGTGCGGACCGCTGCGGGCTCCCTATATCCCCTGGGGTCATGAAAACAGTCATGGCGGGAGGGCTTTCTCACTTTCGGCCTCGGGAGGCCCTTATACGGGCCCTCGGGGCCGTCCAAAAAACGACTCAGGACGAGAAGCCGGCCCTGGGGAATGGGCCGAGAGCTCCCAGGGTCGACGAAATGACACATCGCGACGTCGGGGGTCATGGGACCGCTGCGGGCTCGGGAGGGCCCCCGGTTCCCGGAGACCGTGCCTTGGACCCGGGCTTTCTGCAAGAGGTCCTCCCACGGTGCCGGAGCCGTTGTGCTCGGGCGGTCGGGGCGCCGGAGTGCGGACCGCCATGGCGGGCTCGGGAGGGCCTCTGGTTCCCAGGGACCGTGGCTTAGATATCCGGGTCGGGGAGCCTTTTCGTGGCCTTGGGCATTGCTCGGACGTGTGCATTTTTCCTTCGGCGAGGACCATCGAGGAGCATCCTTGATCATTTGGCGAAGACGCCACGCACGAAACCGAAAAAAACACAGGGAATGGACGTCCGAGCGATGGCCAGTGGCCGAGGCCTGCCGTGGCCTGCATGGAGCCCCATCTGTGTCGTTTTTGCTTGCGCTTTCCCCGCGTCAGCACGCCGGGGCCGTCGAGCTTCTGCGGGCGCAGGGCGGTGCTCTCTGGCCAAGGCGTGGTGATCACTGTGTTGCTGATCCTCTGCTTTCTTGATGGCCGTATCTGTCGCCACCCTGCACGCCTGTACCGGGGGGGAGTGGGCGCACTCCCGCACGCGCGGTCTGGATTCATCGGCGCGATTCCGCAAATACGCGGTCGCACGGAGTCTTTCCGCGCGGGGCATCCGCGAGAGAGTGGTTCGTATCCGCGGGGCCGCGGCCCAGGGGACGAACTCATGAGGCCGCGGATACGAATATGTGCTTCGCCCACGACCAGATGACGAGCACAACTTCGTCCTGGGATGTGTTTTGGTGGTGCATCTCGGGGCTCGAGACGGGTGCGTCCAGAGGCCTTACACACAGGGAATGAATATGTACGTACCCTCCGCCGTGATTGCTGCTCGTGATGCCAGGGGCGGAGAAGTGCACGGCGGCGGCGGCGGGGACGGCCACGACCACGACGACGACCACGACGACGACCACGGGCACGACGACGTCGACGACTGCGACCACGACGACGATCGCAGCGACGACGGCGACGACGACGGCGACGGACACGACCGCAAAGACGACCACGACGACGACGACGACGCAGACGCAGACGACGACGACGACGACGACGACGACGACGACGACGACGACGACGACGACGACGACGACAACGATGACGACGACGACGACGACGACGACGACGACGACGACGACGACGACGACGACGACGACGACGACGACGACGACGACGACTGCCCGCCGGCGGCCTCCCGGGCTGTCCCCGATGCTCAGAGGCCGGCTGCGCTGGATGGACTGGCGCATCTCTCTCGTCGCCGACGAGGCGGGCGGAGGGCCTGCCGTGCGCCTTCTCGCCTCCTCCTCCTCCTCCTCCTCCTCCTCCTCCTCCTCCTCCTCTCCTCGCCTCCTCCTCGTCGCTCCTCCCTCCTCCTCGTCCTCCTCCTCGTCCTTCCGCGGAAGATTCGCAGGGGTTCGAGCCGCCCTCTACTCGCCCCGCGCGCGGGAGCGAGAGAGGGCAGCAGTGAGAGTGGGAGGGGGGGAGGGGGAGGAGGAGAGGAGGAGGAGGAGGAGGAGGAGGAGGAGGAGGAGGAGGAGGAGGAGGAGGATGAGGAGGAGGAGGAGGAAGAAGCAGAAGAAGAAGAAGAATAAGCAGAAGAAGAAGAAGAAGAGGAGGAGGAGGAGGATAATAATAATAAGAAGAAGAATAAGAAGAAGGGGGGGGGGAAGAAGAAGAAGAATAATAAGAAGAATAATAATAATAATAATACTAAGAAGAAGAACACGAATAATAATAACAATAATAATAATAAGAATAATAATAAGAATAAGAAGAATAATAATAAGAATAATAGTAATAAGAATATTAATAAGAAGAATAATAATAAGAATAATAATAATAATACTAATAATACGAAGAATAATAATAATAATAAGAAGAATAATAATAATAAGAATAATAAGAATAAGAATAATAATAATAAGAAGAAGAATAAGAAGCAGAAGAAAACGAAGAAGACGAAGGGGAATAATAATAATAAGAAGAAGAAACATAAGAAGAAGAAGACTAATAAGAAGAATAAACATAAGAATAATAAGACGAATAAGACGAATCCGAAGAAGAAGAATAATAAGCATAAGAATAAGAATAATAATAATAAGAATAATAATAATAATGCTAATAAGAATAATAATAATAATATTAAGAAGAAGAAGAATAATAATAATAAGAAGAAGAAGGAGGAGGAGGAGGAGGAGGAGGAGGAGGATGGGGTGGGGCGCGACGCGCGTGGGAGGCGCGGGTGTGACGTTGACACGCGGCGTGCGTGTGCAACCGCGGTGGAACTGTTTTGTAGACAGCGGGCGCAAGGGGGGGGGGGGAAGGCGGGGGGGTGGTGCAACGTATCGCCCCCGCCCCCTCCTCCGAGCGGGACAGGCACCGCAGACAGTGCCGGACGCCCTGCAGCAGTGCCGGTGACGCACGGGGAGGGGGGGGAAGGAAAGCGTCACGACATGGGGGTGGCACCCGCGGGGCCAGGGCCGGAGGTTGCCGAAAGGGTTCGCTGGACAGGGTTGGTTTCGCTGGTCCTGAGGCCCCTGAGCCTGACCTGATGCCCCCCAGCTCAGCCTGAGGCGCCCCACCAGCCGTCGAAATCACCCGTCTTTAGCCAGGCCTTCTCGACGTTGCCGAAAGGGGAGGGGGGAGAGGGGGGTCACAACGCGCGTCATGACCCAGAGGGTCCTGTCCAACAAACACTGGGTCGATCGAGGGTCGCGGAGGGGGCAGAGGAGGAGGCGGAGGAGGAGGAGGCGGAGGAGGAGGCCGCGCAGGAGGAGGAGGAGGAGGAGGAGGAGGAGGAGGAGGCTTCGAGATCCTGCGGGAGGCACGGCATATCCGCAGGACGCCAAACGGCTTCCACGGAAGCCCCGCAAACGGCGCCGGTCCCGACGACCTTCGCGAGCACTTTCGGGGACTTCCGCACACGATTTGCAGCCGACGATGGCGACGCCGCCGGCGCCGACGCCGCCGTCGCCGTCGCCGAGACGACGGCGACGAGGCGGCGGCGGCGGCGGCCCCCACCACCGCGCGAGGCGTCGGTGGCCCCGGGGCCCTGCAGTGGTGCTCGCCCGCAGGCAAGGAAGGACGGCCTGCCTGCGCCGCCGCCGCCGTCGTTGGTCTGCGTCGCCCTCGCCCTGCGCCTAGTCGGCGTCCGTCTCTCCTCGTCCTCAGCGTCCTCTCTCTCGCTCTCCTCGTCCTCCTCCTTGTCCTTCCTCTGCCGTCCTCTCCTCCCCCCCTTGTCCTCCTCGTCCTTCTTTCCCTCCTCCCCCCTTCCTCCCCGTTCCTGCCCCCTTCCTTCCCCCTCCTCCTCCTCCTCCTCCTCCTCCTCCTCCTCCTCCTCCTCCTCCTCTTTCTCCTCCTCGTCCTCCTTCGTCTCCTCGTCGTCGTCGTCCTCCTCCTCCTCCGCCTTCTCCTTCTCTCCCCGCTTCTCTGCACTTTCTGCCCGAGGGACCCTGCCCAGAGCGTAGCCAGGACATGAAACCATCCGCGCCCTTGGGCCTACAGTAAGGCCGTGACCGTGCCACCCGTGCAGGACCGATTCGTACCACATCCCTTTCGGGACACGCGCGCGCGCCATGGCCCCGAGAGGCCCATCGCTGTGAGCGTGCCGATCCTCAGCAGCCAAGCCACCAGGCAAGGGGCCGCCAAAAGGTACCACTACCCGACACCAGCCAGTCCCGAAATGAAGCCTGTGTCGCCTCACTGCAAAGCAGTGCTGGCGTCGGCCGAGCAGTCGCTGCATACAGCGAGCTCGCTCGTGAGCACCAATGCAGCATCGACGCCACTCACCAACGATCTCTTTCCACTCAGCACGAACTCAGGGGCGACCTGGCGAAACTTTTTCTGGAAACCGATATCTGCCATGCCATGCCGCACTAGTCCCCGACGCACAAAGCGGGCTCCGGCCGTGACTCACCAGGGTCCACGGCCCCCGCCGTCGCCCACCGGGGCATCGGCGCCGCCCCACTCGTCAGCCCGGATGCACCCAGCTGGGGGGTCCCCGCCGCCGTTGCTTCCGGCGGGGCGGAAGGCGGCGCATCGTGCGCACGCAGCATCTCCCTTCACCCGCTAGAAGCGGGCAGTCGGCTCCTGCAGCAAGTCCGCTGGCAGGATGAGCCCCTCGCGCTCGCCGTCCTGGGACCAGCCGGCATTGAGTCCATATATCCTTGCAAGAAGTCAAAATCCTTGTCTTTTGTAGGAGTGCAGTGGCTACCGAGCCCTCGCCAGGACGCAGGGAACCATGGACCAAATGGACCGCGCTCAGATGAAGTGCCTGCAAAGCTGCGTCCAAGTAACCTTCCATCCAGCAGGCAACGTGGCCTGGATCCGTGGGGGTATCTGTGGAACTGATGTCAATGCCGTGTCGCCCGTTCTGTGGGACCCGTTCGCTTCCCAGTTTCCGGGTGCAGCTCCCGCCAATCGCGCGCGTTAGCCTGGAGGAAGAGGCATAGCGCACCAAAGGGCGAAGGAACGCCAGAAGACGGCAGAGCGAAACCACGCAAACAGTTCTGTGACGACCTCGCAGACGCTTTTGCTGCTATCTTTACCTCCCGCTCGCGCACCGCGCAAATGCAAGGGCCCATGAAGCTACCGCGACGTAGCGGCATGGTAGCGGGCAAGCGCAGGCTCGCCAGTGTTCTTGGCATCGAATCCCGCTCCAATCGTCATGGCCACCTCGGGCTAAAGGGGTTTCCAGTTTGAGATAGCCTACCAAGGCACCGACGGCCATGCAACGGATCGCATTCCACGAGGTCCACCAGGCACCCCAAAGGTTCAGCGCCTGGGGACCCACTCGCGCCGACAAGCGAGTAGGCATCCGCATGAAACCCGACGCCAACGAAGCCGGGCAAGTCCCCCTGGAGTTCAGAGGAACCGACGCGGCGCGCGCGACAAAATATCTTGCTGCAGACATCGGGCCACAGAGTGCGACTAGAACACGTGTCTGGTTTGGTGTGTTTGGCTATTCTCTGGGAGCGCCTGGAACCAACCTACTTTATCCGCCTGTCTACTTCATGTTTCGACCTACTTCCGAACCTCGGGTGTTCGTGCTCCTCCTCCCCGCTGCAAGCCAGGACCAGAAAACGAAGGAGGCTCTGGAAGCACTTCGGCAGGATCTCGAGGCCAGCATGGACGAGTCGACGGACAGCTGCCGCCCCCTCTCCCTCGCCTCCTTCCTCTCCTCCCTTCTTGTCTTCCCCCTGCCCCTTCTCTTCCTGTCAGGGTCGATTTCGACTCCTCCGACTCGACCTGGCTCGAGTTCGACCGATTCCGGCTCCGATTCGATTCGACGTCGTACTCCGACTTGCATTCCGAGCTCTCAATGGAGGCCTCACTAGCCTGCCGATTTCTGCCGATTTGACCTCACCCGCTCTGGCTGTCGATGTCCGCCGATGCTGGGATCGCCGATCTAATTTACCGATTGGATTCGTGGAGGAGGAGGAGGAAGAGGAGGAGGGAGGAGGAGAGGAGGAGGAGGAGGAGGAGCCCTCCTGTTGATTCTGGCCGTTTCCGGGTGGGCGCTGGCGTGTCGCGCGAATTTTCGAGGAGCGAGGTCCTCGCACAGCGAAGTGCCCGCCTGCTTCGGGCCATGAGTCGCTGCGGAGGAGCTGGGCCGCGCTCGCAGGACGGGCTCCGCAGCAGCACGATGCGTCGTGCGCATTGTCAATGAGTTCTGCCCCCGCCCTCCCTCTCCCCGACAGCGCTGCGCAGCTTGACTCTCGGTGCTGTTTCGCATTTCGCGATCCGGGCGGCCCTCCGGGAGCACGGGCGGGGGGTCACCCGCAGCGCTGCATCCGGTCCCGTCCTGCCCCTCCTCCTTTCCCTCTCCTGTCCTGTCCCGTCCTGTCCCTCCTGTCCTGTCCTGTCCTGTCCTGTCCTGTCCTGTCCCTCCCGTGGAGAGAGCTTGTGCAGGGTGAAGCCGTAACGCCACTTCTGGTCAGCTGCATCCCCCGCCCCCCCGGAGCGGTGGCGAACGTGCGTGCGCGCGCGGGCGGTGCCGGCGCCCCATCAGATGAATGGCGCTGTGTTCACGGGCGTGCGGTGGTGCTGACGGGCATACCTTGGTGCTCACACAAGCATGGAGTGGCGCTCGGAGGAGGAGGAGGGGGAGGAGGCGGAGGAAGAGGGGGAGGAGGAGGAGGAGGAGAAGGAGGAGGAGGACAGGAGCAGGAGGAGCAGGAGGAGGAGGAGGAGGAGGAGGAGGAGGAGGAGCGCCGGGAATGTCGTTTTGCTTCTGCTTCTTTCTGCGGTGCTCTGCTGCTCCTGCTGCTGCTCTGCTCCGGGGCTCGCTTGCTCGATGCGCTCCTGCTGCTGCTGCTGGTGCTCCTCCTGCGCCTTCTCCGGCGCCGCTCCTCCCGAGCTCTTCTTGCCGGCCCTCCTGCTGCTCCTCCTGTTCTGAATTGCTTGTCTGCTGCTGCTGCTCCTCCGCCCTTCTCCTGATGCTCTTCTCCTGCGCCTTCTGCAGCTGCTCCTGCTGGTCCTTCTGCTCTTCCTGCTGATCCTCTTGCTGCTGCTCCTCCTGCTTCTCATGCTGCTCCGCCTGCTCCTCTGTTTGCTCCTCCCTGTTGCTAGTGCTCTTCCTCCTGATGTTCCTGCTCCTCAAGTGTTCCCTCTGCTCATGCTCCTCCTCCTGCTCCTCCTCCCCCTCCTTCTCCTGCTCCTACTGCTGCTCTGGGTATCTGTCTCCAGAGCTTCTCCTCCTGCTGCTCTTTCTGCTGCTTCTGCTTGCTGCTCCACTGCTCCTCCGTCTCCTTGCTCCTCTTGCTGCTTCTCTTGCTGAGCCTCGTGCTGCTCTTGTGCTCCTCGTGCTGCTCCTCTTGCTGCGCGTCTTGCTGCTCTTGTTGCTGCTCATGCTTCTGCTTTCGTCCCTCCAGCTGCACCTTCTGCTGCTCCTCCTTTTTCTCGTGCTGCTGCTCCGGCTGCACCTCTGGCTGCTGCTCATGTTG